TTACACTTGGACTTTTAAAGTTACCTGGAATAATACAGATTTTTTAAAGTTAAGTAACAAACAAATAAGTAGGTAGTTACTCCATTTTTGAGACTTAGCTTTTCAAATTTTTATGAACAGAGAACATTTTGTTATTTAGCTATAAGGCATTCAAAGAGAAAATAACATATAGATATTTACAAAATTAAGTTTCATATTAAGCTTCTAATTATTCAAATTATCACTAAAAGACTTGTACATAATGAAATTAGCATACTTAGATCAGAACACTTTTGTTTCATTGTTATTTTAGATGTAAACTTGGCTGCTATTTTATGGGATTTATGATTGTGTTAAAAGGTATGCTGATATGCAATATGCTTATATCAAAAGGCAAACTGGCATGTAATCATGCTTATGTCAAAAGGTGAGCTGGCATATAAGAATGATTATGTCAAAAGGTAAGATATGTAAGTATGCTTATGTAAAAAGGTAGGCTGACATGTATGCTTATGCCAAAAGGTAAGTTGATGTGTAAGTATATACTTGTCAAAAGGTAAGCTGATGTGTAAGTATGCTTATGTCAAAACGTAAGCTGACGTATAAGTATGCTTATGTCAAAACGTAAGCTGACGTATAAGTATGTTTATGTTAAAAAAGTTAAGCTGACGTATAAGTATGTTTATGTTAAAAAAGTTAAGCTGACTGATAAGTATGTTTATGTTAAAAAAGTTAAGCTAACTGATAAGTATGTTTATGTTAAAAAAGTTAAGCTGATGTGTAAATACACTGTAGTTCAAAAAGTTTTCTCTAAGTAAGCTGCTCATGTACTTTTTAATTTTGCAGTAAATTTTACTTTAGTTTTCTAGAAGTGTTAATTTTAACTGAAGTGTGTGATAATTAAAATACATATTTACAGATTTATTTTAATTAATTATTCATATGAGGTTTTCGTTGTACTGTTTTAATTTTATATCTTTGCAAGTAATGTGATATAGTATATCTCCTGTATAAAATTTAAGTTATATGTTGCTTTAAAATAAAGATGTGTGTGTGTGTATACAAATATATATATATTATTCATATAAAACATATTCATTTTTTGCAATTCCTAAAATTTCATACTAGTGAGAGCCACTTAAGGAGAAGCAAAAACAATTCTGAAGACTGTATACAGAGAAGCAGATAAGTTTGAAGTAAATGTTAGGCTGCAACAACATTACCAATAGCCCCCTGTTGCTTCTCATTGTCATCGATGTCTTGAGTAAAGGGTGCTGTTAGGGACTCCTGTGGGAACTATTAGTCACTGATGACCTTGTCCTAATAGCTGAAAGTGAGCAGGAGTTAAAAACGCAAGTTAAAGTGTGGCAGAAGAGCATGGAAAGAAGAGGCTTAAAAGAGAATGTCAAAAAAATGGAAGTCACTGTGAGTGGAAAAGGTAGGAAGAAAAAGGTTAAGATCATAGATATATAAAGAGGAAGTTGCTGGAACAGGCAGAAGACTTTAGATACTTTGGAAGTACAATCCAAAGTGAAGGAGGAAGTGAGAAAGCTGTAAGACATAGAACCCAGGTGAGTTGGAGGAAATGGAAGGAAGTAGCTACAGTCACCTGTGACAAAAGGTTACCAAGAGAACTGAAAGCCAAAATGTATAATACCATGATTAGATTGGTGCTCTTCTACAGAGCCGAGACCTGGACCCCGAAGAAAAAAGAAGGCTTGTTGATAAGAACAGAAATGAAAATGTTGAGACAGCTGTTGGGAGTGTCACTGAAAGAGAAGAGAATGAATAAGGAAATTAAATATATGGAATGAGTCTGTGGAATAAAGGAAAAGAAGTAAGGCTGAGGTGGTTTGGTCACGTGAAGAGAAGAACAAGTAATAAAAAGAGCATTAGAGCTGCCAGTAGCTGGCAAAAGAAGACAGGAATGGCTAGTAAAGCATTGGAAAGATGGGATTAAATAAGACATGAATGAGAAAGGAATTGCAGAATATCTGGCAATGAATAAAGACGATTGAAGGAGGACAACACATTCGAAGGGCAGCAACCCCTGTTAAAGGGAAAAGCCGAAGAAGGTATCAACATCCATCTATTATTCTTCGTATGTGATTTATGGTCAATATGAGAAAACTTATTAAGTACAAAAATGTTTATTTTTGTGAGGGAATTAAAAAAAAAAGAGAACTTCCTCCATTGACTGATTGAAAGAAGTATTTTGAAGCTAGGAGCATGAATGAAAAATCACATAAAGAGAGGAATGTGCTTGAGTATATATATATATATTTTCTTCCCATGTTGGTGTTATATACATACATGATTTTTATTGTACTTAGTTGAATAAACTGATTTGAATTGAAAATCTCCCCTTTGACACTTCTTACTGAAATGACAACTGTCAAAAAGTGTTCACTCTGGTAGCAATCTTGTGCTCAGTAAAATGACAAGTAATGAGCATCCAGCAGAAAATATCCCCACTTCTACTGAAATGAATGAAAGCACTCTATTGTGCTGAATGCAACCATTCCATCAAAACCAAAACAATGCAGTCAGGCTGCTGTGCTTAAAAACAAGGGTAATACAATGGTATTGAAATAATATATGGAATGGCCAAATATGGTTGTAAATGGCTCATTAGACACTCATATTGCATATACTCTCTCAATGGGCATCTGCCAGTACATTAATAAATTACAGTGAGGGAAGTTTAAAGAAACACACCAGATTTAATTAAGCAAAATCCGTATTATGTTACTATTATTTCATATAAGCAAGATTGGGTTTATCTTGTAATAAAACAAGCCTTGCTGTAATGCTTTTTGTTTCAATATTGTCATAATTTTGACAAGTGGCACTGCATAAAATGTGTAACTTTCATAATAAAACATTTACTGGTAGGGTGATATCAAGTTAAGTTGTTAAGATAAACAAGCATATGTTGAAATGTCATTTTATTTTTTATGTTCGATGTATTTATTTTTAAACTAATTTTTGTTCATGAAATTTAAAATATACTGCCCTGATGTAACTATCTGGATATCTCTTGAGTGTGTGACATGGCATACTTTTTAAAGAAAATTAATGAGTGAATTAGATGAGAACTTTAAAATGTGTACAAGGTCCTAAAATATATAAAATAAATGAAATTGAGATATCAAACACTGCCACCTGTGTGGAAAATCTACAAGTGAAATCCTCACAATGCTTAAGATGTGTGTAATACTGTGCATGATTTGATAACTTCTTGCAGTAAGCTGTAGCATCACCTGTAAGATCTATGTGGCATGCTTTCCACAAATGTAAGTCCTCTGGAAGGACTTTGACATGCAAACAAGGATATCACTTCTGAGAATGTTTGGTACCAAATTTTTTGGAGTAAAGCCTGATAACTCTGAGTATTTATGGTGAATTTTGTGGACTGGTGTGAAGCAATTCACCTATTTTTGAACTGATTGTAGTATATAGTTCTGGAGGCAGGCACATGAATAATTCCACTGTGATTGTGTTACTTCAACTGTGAAGTACTGTAATAAAGGTTTGTATATGCTTATTCTTGGCACAAGACCTGTTCAAACATTTAAATAGCTATCAACTACAGACTATTACAAATATCAATATTAACTTTATAACTACATTGTGTATCTTTAAATTTTCATAACTGAATAAAACTAAAGTGCTGCAATGGGTGTTAATTTGAATTATATAGTTTATTATAAAAATAAATTAGGAATTTTAAAATTTTTGGGTTAAATATCACAACATTCTTGCATAAAGTTATCCCATGGACTAATTGAAACTCAAGCAGGTGATTATAAGCCTGTGCTGAGCCTCAAGCAGTCCCATCCTCATTAGGTGTTCTTGGATTAAGGCTGAAAACACCTCTAACAGAAAAGGTGTTCAACTGATGACCTAAGGCAGAGTGGTCATAGAAGCTTTTTGTAGTTACTCATAACTAAGACTATTTATCATTAACTGTAGATTTTTAGCAACTGTTATGGTAGAAATTATTACATAAATGTGATTCTCAGGAATAATTGCTTATTTTTTAAGTGGTTCCTTGTTTGTTGTAATTGAGATAATCACAGTTAGTATGAAAAGTCTTTTACCACTAAAAACTGCTTTAGAATTATAAATGTTGCTAGAAAATGTGGAGAAAAACTGAGATCAGAATCTGCAAACCTGTCTTTGTGGGTAGACAATTTCCAACTGAATGAATAAAAACAACTTGTAATTTTGTTTCTTATATAAAAATCAACACATTTCAATTGGCTGAATAAGCTTGTTTCAATTGAAACACTATAAAGAAAATAAAGCTTAAAAGTATGAATTTACAAGGATCTACTAGATAATTTAAAATTGTGTTCAAGTTACATGCAAATGAAAACAATTCAGCACACTAAAGAAAAACAGTTAAGAACCATTTTTTCACATCAACAACCTTCCTAATCCCTATAACTTGAAATTTTAAATTGAAATCCTAATTTTAAGTTTTATATAATTAATGATACATTAATTACTGATTGCATTAAAATATCTCCTACAGAGTCTCAAGTTATAAATCTAATAAAAATATAATATTAAAATGTAATACTGTTAAAGACTATGTGTTCTAATAATATCTATTAAAAATGCAATACCTTTAAAGACAAAGTATTATAAAAATGTTTGTTAAAATATAATATCTTTTAAGTCAAGGTGTTTGAAATATAATACCTTTCAATATAATATAATATATAATATAATATACAATATATAATTATAATATATAATATAATATCTTTTAAGTCAAGGTGTTTGAAATATAATACCTTTCAATATAAGGTGTCCTAATGATGCATTTAACTCTCAAAAATGATTTTATATTTAAAATTTTAAAATATTAACAAACACTATGATGTTTTATTAATTTCTTTGTACAAAGTTCTTTATTAAATGTATATCATCAAAGAAATGTTTTCATCCTAAAATACACAACGCTATTTAAAAATAAAAAATATCATATATAATGCAAACATATTTTTATTTATTTATATATATATATTTACAGTTAACTAATTAACATACTTATTCTATTACTTATATACTTATTTATTAAAATCAAAGATCCTGAATCTGAAAAAAAAAATTCTTTTTAGCTTATGAACTATGATGGTATTTTTTTGTATTTCTGCAGAGTATTTATTTTGGCTTAAAGGTGTTGCCAAATTATAAGTTGAACAACTTACTATATTGTAATTACAAAAAATGAATTTGAGCAGTATATTATTTCATTAAAAGATTTTAGCTTTCTATAAAAAGACTCTTCACTACTGTGAAAACTGTATTTATATAATGTTATTCTTGAAAGTAACTAAAAACAGCTGTCTAAACTACAGCTGTCTAATGATCAGTTCACATAAGAAAGCTTCCTAACATACAGAGAGTCAAACATCAACAGAACCTTGCTGAATGCTATAGGTTGTCAATAATGATTAGGATATCCTGCACAAGTCTTCAGCATTAATACTTTGAGGTCCATGCTTCAGCAACACATTCAGTACAGCACGGGCCAAGTAGCTGGTAGTTACTGTAGATGGAGCATTGTAGAATGGAGTCATGTCATCACTCAGCTCCAATGAAACATCACCATTATCTCGTTTAAACAAATTAAATGCTTCATGAACCAACTGACGAAAGAGAGAATAAGAAAAATTAAGGTCACAAGAATTCACAACTCAAAAAAAAAAGTCAAACATATGAACTTAGATACAAATATTGGTTCACATTTCATAAAAACAAACAAATTAACTGTTACTACAATATTTTATCTAAATATCTCTTTAAAAGAAAGAATATCAACTGAAACCCAAACCTACTACTTTGCAAAATGCATAAAATAGGTGAGCATATGAAATGTTAACAACATATAGATTTCTATTGATAAAACAAATATGTCATCTCCAACCAAAAAACATTACTACAAGAAAGTTTAAAGGAGAGAAAACTAAGTAAAAGAATACTACCTATAGACTTTCAAGGAGAGAAAAATGTATTAAACAACTGAACATTATCTACAGGCTATCATGGAGAGAAAAATGTATTAAACAACTGAGCATTACCTACAGGCTATCATGGAGAGAAAAATGTATTAAACAACTGAACATTATCTACAGGCTATCATGGAGAGAAAAATGTATTAAACAACTGAACATTACCTACAGACTTTTAAGGAGAAACAAAATAAATAACAGGATATTACTCCAAGAGGCTTTCAAAGAGAGAAAAATAAACTGAACAACTGAAAATTACCAAGACTCTCAAAGAGAAACAAAATAAACACCAGACCACTGTCTAGTGGGGCAGCTTTATGTAAACAAAGAATTGTCTGACTTGCACACATGGTCAAATTACAATGATCTGTGCTCACAATGTGTACATTCTATTATGAGCACTTTTTTTATTTAAGTTTTCTTATTTAATCTAACAAGTTTCTAATTTTTACATTTAAGTTACTTTTATAACAATAAATAAGAAAGATACGTAAAAAGCAAAAACCTAGTACTTACAAGTGGGTTCTGTACTTTCTTGCTCTCTTGACAAAAGTTAACCCTACTTTTCAGTTATGACTGTTTATTGTAGTAGTGTAATTTTTATTTATTTCAAATACAGGAAACTCAGAACACAACATATTAACACACAAAACTTACAATGTTGTAAGACTAATGTAACTGGCTTTCTAATTACACTACAAATTGATTAAAATTATTCCATTAGCTAGTCAAGATAATCTCAGCAATAGCAAACAAAGTGCAGGCCGAATAATGGAAAACTGACCATATAATGAGGTAGCTTAATAGGAAACCTCAGTAAATTAAAATCTTCTCTATTTGTTATAAACATACTAACAGCAAATGTAACAGAAAATTACTGACAATTTTTGAAAGACATAATGTTACAGGATGACATGATATGTGGATTTGACTTTCTGGTTTATATTTCAGTAAAGCAAGAAGACTGGAGACTATAAATTTATACTATGTCTTAGCAATATCTATACTCTAAATGCATAATTTGGGCCAAATAGATGGTCATATAGGGGTAAAACTAAAGTCTAAAATGGACATTTCAGAGCAAAGAAGTGTCACATACCACAGAGAAGTGAAGAGTGAGAATTTATTTAAATATTACCTTTTGAAATTAATAAATTAAAACTAAAACAATATTCAAATTTGAATTTTTCATTCCAAGTTTATTGACATACATTGATAATAAAGTTGTTTAATAAATTTTGACTGCAATTCTGTATAAAGTCATGACATGCACACTTATACCATGCCATATGAGTAGGATTAAAATGGATGTGATTAGTACGTACTGTAATTAAGGGTATTATTTTATTTTAGACAATGTGTATCTTGATTTTCATATGACGAATAATATTAACTGTAGATGTTTAAAGGTTTTACTTTAATTGTATACTATTTGTATTAACTCTTTCCATATGGGGTTGGGTGATGTGACCGACCTTGTGAAGAAATAGTAACCATATTATAACTTTTAATGCATTTTGTGTATCTTCTAAAAATTTGGAAAGCTTTCAGTAAACATTACAAGACTTTTGTAAATGAAGAATTAGATTTTTAATTACGTATCTTTATTAAAGATTTATCTCGGAATACATGAAATCTGAGTGTTGGATGTTCTGAGAGAAGAGTGATTTTCTTGTTAAGATAAAAAAAATTTTCCTCATCTGAGAATTTTCAAATTTCATTTGTGTAACCTCTAAAAACCCCTACATAAATATCAAAAGTTTTTTTCAGTAAAACTTTTTATCTGTTATTTTCTCAACTCTAACACTATATAAGGTCAGTTTTACTGATATTGTATCCACCATAAAAATATGAATAAATTTAAATCACTTTCTTTCTTTCTAAAATGACTGCTGATCGTAACAGAAAACTACAAATGTTTATTCGAAATAGTTTAAGGCTCATAACAGTCTACATCCTTTTATATTTAATTTTATTGTTTTTCTGCCTTTGTACCATGTTTAACTAATAATCCCTCCATGAAAGTTGTAAATAACTTGGGAAACACTTAGCTCACATTACTGTATTGAATGATGTAATGCAGGAGTTGCTCATGAGCATACCTTATTAACAATTATTATTAATTATATTACCTAATCTAACCTAACAAGTTTCTAATTTTTACATTTTACTTACTTTTATAATTATAAATAGATAATATACATGAAAAACAAGAAATATAGTACTTACCTTTGACTTATATATTTTCTGTTGGTTATACATAAAATTTAACCCTTCTTTTTTTTTTTTTTTTTTATAATGATGGTACTAGTACAGTAAATAATTTTTATTTACTTAAATAATGCACTTAAGAACACAACAATAATAATAC